GTAATTATCGCAAGGTTTTTCACAAGGTATTCTTCTCTTGTTAGTTTAATAGGACTCATTGTGATAGAAACCTTCTCTTGCCCCAGATGTCCAAGCCGATTTTTGACTCTGTCCGTGACATTTGCAGAGTCATATTTTAAAAATCAGAATACCTCATTGTCAGCTTGCTGTTTCAAACTGTCATTACAATGTGGGTCTCTATTCATTATCTCTGATGTCGAACCTTTTTGAGATAAAGCACTCAGTGGTTTGGACTCTGCATTTAAAAACATAACATTTATCTTTAAAAGAAAATTCCTTCATTCACAAGATTTATAAAACAAATGTTTAAAGAAACAAAATAATGACCTTGACTACTTTTATCTCTATGTATCCAGTCTGTCTGTGTGCCAACATTGATTCTGGTGACAATCCTCCCATCATATATATGGATTGTGAGAAACTTTAATGAACTTTCCCTGGAACCAGCTGTTTAATGTTACATTTTAAAGTCCAAAACTGTTCATAGCATAACTTATACACATGTGAAACATAATGCAAATCGCAGTTTCTTTATTTGATTAACGGTTTGAAAAATATATAATATTTCACTTAATAGTAAGAATGCATTTTTTAAAACAGATTTAGGTTCAGGATATTTATTTACAATATAAAAGACTCTCCAACTCAAATTCTGTACAAATATACATATTTTGAGGGGGTCATGATTACAAAAATGTTTATGTTTCCTTAATGACAGACTAACAAGCACCATAATGCAGAGAGTAGTTTGAGATTTCTAACTTCCAAACTTGAAGAAAAAAGCAAGATGAAATCTTTGGTTTGTATTTGATAGTAGGTATTTGAAAAGATTTGCTCCAATTGGAGACATTTTTAGATAACACTTAAAACAAACTGCTTCCTTTTGTGATGCATGTGAGACAAGTAATCAGAAAGAGAAATGTGGAATGCTTGTTCTTTATGTACACCTTTCTAAAGCCGGAAGATGCCGTTTCAGCTTTTTCCAGAGATTATATTAGATAAAAAGACTATTTAAATGCCTAGACATATTAGCGTTCAGCATTCTATGTCTGTGAGATATGTTTGAGTGCAAAAAAATTGGAGTATAGAACTCGCAACAACTATGATACTGGCTGAAGCTGATGAGAAAGTGTCCCTATCCACAATAGTACAAGTTTTGCACTACTATGACAGACAGAAGTTTTACTTCAGAAGCATAAAATTCATAATGCAATTGGGGTGAAATACTTTATCTTTTAGGACCATGTCCTATAATGCTATGAAACTGATGAAGTATTAGACCATAATGACCACTGTGGCACTTGGAGGTAAAATAAGGAAGTTTTTAGAGCCTGAGAGCACCATAACAACTGTAAAATACAGGCTGAGCTGATAAAATGTGTGCGAACAGGCTTCCTCTTGACCCCATTAAACTAGGTCCCCTCAGGAGGAATGGGACAAAATTCCAACAAAATTACTATTAGAAGCTTGTAGTTACCCAAAATGTAAGACTCAACAGAAACAATTTAAGAGACAGTTCTAGATAAGGAACTGCGTGTAAACTTGTAATTGCAAAAAGGGTTGAAGTATGAACTATTCTGGCATTTGGCAAATATTTTATGACCCTAACTGATGCCAAACAGAACAAATTTGGCCTGATTAAATGTGAGAGAGTTAGGCAAATGGGGTTAACTGTCTCCTTAAAGACTATATGAAAATATCTGTCTTAACTATATACATATGATACACATTTCATGTAATACTTGCTGTATATATAATTCAATCAATTTAAATTAAGCCTCATTATTTCTCATCTAACCTTCTTGGGTTTAGCTGCATAATATCTCCTGCTCAGTAAGTCTGTAGATTTAGGTCAGTTCTCTCCATATTTCTGTTTGTTTACAGGTCCAAGACTTGTTTTTGTCTCCATCTCAGTTGATTTGCCTGGTGAGTCCGCTGTTTGCATCATGTCTGTGATAGTCTTGACTCATTGTCAACTCGGGATGAGCAAATAAATCACAATAGGTTGCATCAGGCACAATATGGTCAAATAACAGTCTTTTTTGCCCCCTAGTGTAACTTAGCAACCAGAGAACAATAAGGGAAGAGACACAAAGGAAGAGTTTTTTTTAAAATCTACTTTTTTTTTTTTTTTTTTCAAAAAATCTCATCCCGCTGTCATGTATTCCCTTTCCCCAGTGGTGTATAATTTTTTTATGTAGGTTTATGGACATTTAATAATTTTTTTATTGCACATTATATGTAGGGCTTAGGTTTTTGCTATTTTTAGTGATTCACCTTTAGTGATTCATCTGGATTCATACTTTTACAATTAGGTTATAGAAATAGTTATATTAGAAAGGTTTCCTTTTTTACTGTTTTAGACATGTGAAAATATCAAACTGAATTACAATGCTAGCCATCTGTTTTGATCATTAAAAAAGGAAGAAAAATGACTGCTATTTCAGTTTGATATTTTGAAATTAAAAACTTCTGATTAAGACATCCAATATAACAATATATTCAATTAAATTGAAAAATGCTTTAATAGACTTTAGAATTTGGGACAATAGATACCCTTGCTTAAAAAACAAGCAGGTTCACTCACTGAACTAAAGTTGGTAAATAATGTGCAGTTTCTGATATTACAGCTCTTTACCAGCTGTTTCGCTGCAGATGTGTAACCCTCGAATCAGAAGCTAACTTATGTGTTGTGTTTCCCCTTAGCAAGCTTTTAAGAAGTTTGCCAAGTAAAGGTTGTTAAACAAAACAAAATACTTTGGCTCAGACCCAAGTTTACATAAGTTATGTTGCCTCTAAGTTTGACCACAACCAAAACATTTTATTGGTTACACTTATTAACCCATTCAGATTTAAAAAAAATGAACTTAGGAGTCTGTTTTTTTCTGATCAGTTGTTCATTTCCATCATCTGTTATATATTGCTGTTTTCAATCGAAGGAAAACATCACTAGTGTCAAGACTTTCACCAATTTCTTTACTTACATATCCAACATTCTTTCAAATATGTTTAGTAACTTCAATATCTTATGTATTTCTCAATGCCTTAATGATAGCAGTAGAACATTGGAGGATCTTGTACCGTAACAGTTTTGACATTTATATTTTATCTACCATTCTCCCCATTCTTCTCCAGCATCAATGGGGCTTTTTTTTCTCTCCAGACAACTGATGCTCAGATATTTATCATTTTTCAGATCATTCTATGTAAACCAGAACAATCGTGTGTGAACTTTGCAAATTAGTCAGATGTTTCGTAAATACATCATCACCTAAATCCTAAATGCTTTTTTTGAACTCCAGCATAATCATCTTTCCCGCTCCAATGTGTCTGAATGCATTGACAATATGACATATTGTCATTTGTGTCATTATGCAATTTAAGAGGTGTAACTTATATAAGAGTTTGTGAATTTATAAAGATAAAATACAAGATCGATTAAACAAGTAAAGTTTGGAATCATTATAGGACATTAGTTTTCCAAAGCAGAGGTGCCACTGACTGGAAAACACAGGTTTTGAAAAAAGTGTTATCATGTTAACAACAATTTCAGTAATGCAGCAAATAAAGTCATGTTGCAACATTGTATATTCATCTATGTTCCTCAGGAATTAGGTTAGATAATTGTGAAGAAGCTACACCCTAATCAAACTCTACACTTTTGAAGAGCATTTATTTTTTAAGAGATATGTTCATTTTCACTTCATCTTTGTTTAATAATTAATAACATGGTATGTGGTTTTTGTACACTTAGAGTTAAAATTTTATACATGCAATCCCATTAACTGATCAAGGATTTCATTTTTTGACCATAAATATTGATGTTAACCATCAGTATTTGTGTTAACTTAATGTCCAAAGGGTCTGGAATCTACATTAATTACCAATTTTTTATTGGACCACATAAAGAATTTGTTTCTAAAACAGTTATGTCAAATTATTCTTGAATGTTGGTCTAGATCATTCTTGTACTGAATGAATTAGACATCACTCATACTTTTAGTAGCTCAGTAACTAGAGCTAAGAAATAATACTGTGAAAGGTTTACAAAAGAGCAACTGGCAAATTAAATGGTGCACAACAAGGAATCTAAAGTTAATGATTTAAAATTTAAATCATCAGTATTAATCTGCAGAATGCTTTAATCACAAAATAATTATACACTGAGACAATAATCCTTTAGTGCTGCATCAAGGATGTCGCTTTTTTATTCAGTTATATTATAAAAAAAAAAACATAATTTCTTCACCAAGCCTGTTGATGAAAATACATATGGTTAAGTGGTTGTGTCCCGTCTTAAAAGTCTAATGCCATAATGAAAAAAACAGAATTAAACATTTGAGATGTTGAGTAAAGAAAACACAAAACCAGTCATTCATGAAGGTTAGATCTTTAAAATAATTTTTAGAGTTAACATACTGAAGAATAACCAAAAATGCAAATTAACTACAGATAATTTGTTTTCCTCCATAATTTTACTTAAATCGGTTTGTGTTTTATATTGCTTATTCCCTAAATACATTTCAAATGGTCTTCAAAAACAAAGAGCAGGCTAGGAAATGAATTTATACTGACCAGATTCCATTTAAGACTTGCTTGCATATTGTTGATATTTGCAACTATATGCAAGTTGCATCCCTAACATGTTGACTGATGTCTTTCCTATGATGCTAAACAAGGAAATAGTGGGTTTGAGGTTTTGCTACTTAAAATGGTTAAATGCTTAAAGAAAGAATTGTATTATGTAAACTTCTAAATTTGGAGGAAGCAATTAAAAATGAACATTGAAATTTGTCAACTAATACTTTTTACATTAAGGGAATAGAGCATTTTTGGTAATACCAACTGAATAAAAGTTGTTTAGATTTATTTTCAAACAAAGAAAAAATAAATTATTTGCTTGATACAGTGTAGATTTTATTTGGTTTTAACTTTGATAGTTATAGTTTGATGCTCTAGATCCTCAAGACACTGAAAATAATGCTATTCTTCTTCTGGCACAGCCTCAAATGATAAACCAGTTTTTGTTTTCCTCCTTTAAATTGGATGAGCATTTTTCTTTATGGGTGACTTCCCCTTTTCCACTTGCTTGCTAAGCTGCTCCTTCCGGGCAATGAGACGGCGACGTGGCACTATGTCGCACACATTTGCAGAGGGGTGAGAGATACAGGTTTGCATCTGGTCGAGCAGAGAATAAATCTCTGTCTTCTTCAGTTGGAAATATATTTCCAAAACATCTTTGCCGGACTGGTAGTGGCTGTCTGGGCAAAAGAGCTGCATTTAGGATGAAAAAAAAAATAAAAAAAACATCCATGTTTATTCAATGCATGGTTCTACACCATGGCTCCTATATTTCAAACATTAATTTTAAAACAGAAAAAAAGTCCATAATAAAACAAATATCATGTGTTTTGCATCTGCATCTTACCTTAAGCTTTGAGCCAACATTGAAACGTATATGATTTTGCTTTTGCATAAAGTTGATATACACACAATCATGTGAATGCACATGAACACTGATGTATGGCCCTAAGGCGAAGACGAGGGGCTTGAAAGGAAGGTTACGCATATGTGGGTCAAAATAGAACCAGTTCCAACACCTCCTCAAATCTCCTGTCTTACTGAAGTAGAGACCTCCACCAGGGCTAATATTTAACCTTTACACACAGAAAAAAGATAAAAAAAAAAGCAAACTGTCAAATATCTAGCTATTAAGTTAATAAAAAAACAAAGATTAATAAAAATGTTGACTTTTACATGCAAAACTATCATTATAATAATTAAGACACTCTTACAGTTATGTCAGTCATTTTTTATACAAATACAAAATGTTAATACCCATGATCAATGTAATACTTTCAAGAGCACCCATGTAAAGTTGTTTTTAATAACAAAACACTGCATTTCCGAGGACTCTATTACCACTCAGTGACTGAGGTAGAAAACAGGGGTAACATATTAAGGAGAACAACAGATAGCTGGAACAGGAGTTTTGTAATGGACAGCTGCTCAAGTTGTCATGGATTGAGATACTACGGAGCCCCTCTGATGACATGGTCAAAAAAATGTTTTAATTGTGGCCACGAAGTAGTATTTAGTGCGCTGGAAATACTACTTCGTGGCCACGCAATAAGTTTAACGTGCGCACGAAATACTTATTAATAATATTAATATAATTCCTGGACAACTGGGTAAGCAAATCGAGCGCGCCTTCTCTAAGGTCTAAGGCGCGCTCGATTTGCTTACCCAGTTGTCCAGGAAAGATATTAATATTATAATAAGCATTTTGTGCGCACGTTAAACTTATTGCGTGGCCACGAAGTAGTATTTCGTGAGCACGAAATACTACTTCGTGGCCACAATTAAAAATTTTTTTTGACCATGTCATCAGAGGGGCTTCGTAAGATACAGCTATGCTTTTTTATAAAAGTAAGTTTTCACCCCCATAAGGATGGTGTAAACTTATTTAAGTCTTCTGCAGATCCTGAGCTGCTTCCAAAGTGGATAAAACAGGTCAGATGAGATCAGGAGAAGTTGGATGAATCCATGGCATCTCCTCTGTCCTTGGAACATACTGAGAAGGACGTGCTTTTTATTTTGTTTCCGCATTGAAAGAGTTGTTTGGTTGTTCAGTAACACTAACATGAGCAGCTGCCAATAGCCATACAGGGCGAGAGAGAGGAAACGGGTTGTTATTAATAACCTGCCGAATCTGACTTGCACATCTGTGTTGAGATGTTGTTGAGGGAAGAAAATTAAAAAATATTCAGAAAAAGAACTTGATGCTGATGTGGAGCTTAAATCACAGATTCTTGTTGTTCCAACAGTTGCTAGCTATACCTTTAGGAATATAGTAGATGTCTTGTAAGATATATTTGAAAATCATTTTCATTTAAGGTGTCATATACTGATTTAGATTTTATAAAGTAATAACTGGTTATACTATCTGTACCAAAGGCATAACAAGCTGTGTTTCCCCCTTGCATGTTTTCTATCTTGTGTCTTATGATCCAGCTATTTAATGTTTGAAACTATTGGGGGCTATGTATAATGTATCAATGCATAAAAAACCCCACTGAATTTATATAAAGAAAAGATCTGTGCACTAAAAAATTGGCAGCACTTTGCAATAAGGTACACAAAATTTGATTGACTATTAGGGAGCAACTAGGGATCTAATCAGGAACTAATGGGTATTTAAGCAGTAATTACTGGCAAGCACCGAGCCAAGCCTTAATACTGTATGTGACTACAGCCTATTGAACAGAGTAACTAAGCAGGAACTAATGGGTGGTTTCCCTTAACTTAAGGCTACACAAAAACATTAGTTAATCTTCAGGTACTGACTGGGTAATGAATAGTTCCTCACTAGGTACTTGGTATGAAACTTGATAATAACAGTTAGGCAATGTTTTGGTACTAAATGTATTAGTTTTTCATAAGCTGTGACTTGGCAGGTTTAGGGTTTTTTCAGAACCAACACTAAGAATTTTTAGTCCCCTAATAAGCGCTATTTAATTACTCTTTAGTTCCTTATTAGTTGCTATTTGGTTTCCTCTTAACTGTCCATTAGTTCCTCATTAGTTACTTGTTGTTTCCTTGCTAACTACATATTATTTCCTGAATAGTTAACTAAGCAGGAGTCTCATAATAAGGATGGCTCGATGTAACCCAGTAAGTACTGATCATCTAACAATTAGCTCCTTATTCGTTCTCTAGGCGTCCTCTAGTTGAAATACTGTTAAATTTAGTGTACCTTATTGTAAAATGGACATACTTCGTGGGATACACCATTGACTCATGGGAGGCTTGGGGGATTGTGTCTTTTACAGTGTTTTCAGTGGAGGATATCGTAGATGTATGGATTTTTGGATTTGTGATGCTTGGATTTCACCTGTTTGGATTTGGAAGATACCTGATGTATCTAAAATTACAGAGGATATCAGCTGCAATTTGGGCATTGATCAGGCTGCCGGTAGCGGTTGATGCGTTCACAAAGGCTGTGAACTAGCAGGACCAGGAGCTGAGCCGTATGCTGGGTGCGATTGAACGCAAGCTGGGTGCGGTGGTTGAACTCAAAGGTGAGATGGGATTATATCTTAGATGTGCACGGTTGCTTCAAGGCGGAAAAGCCCAACAAATTGGGAATATTGGATTCATTATGTAGAGCCAGCAAGAAAAGACTCAAGGCATAAGGAAAATTCCTGTGCAGCCTGCTCCTAAAACAATAAGTGTTATTTTGTATTCGGCCTCCCCTTTATCATACCTCCCCGGGATGTTACGGCGGAAGGGGCCAGAAGAACTTCTCACCACCCCACAACCTCAGAAGTGAGCCTCTGCTAAAATGTTTTGCTCTTGTCTACATGTGCTTCCCATCCTGAAAGCTTTCTCAATTCAAAATGTCAGAATTAGCGTTTTGCTCAAGGCTTTATAGATTACCCCCAAAAAATGCTTGTTTTGGCTTAGAAAACATGCAAACTGAACCGGAAAAACTGGTCCGTACCATAGGAATGGGAAGTCGTTTTGGGTTCTTTGTTAGCCTGCAATCCTTTTATGATTAACACTCATTCATTAGTGCACAACATTCAAATTTTAACACCCTCACCTCATCCTAATCCTATTACAGAGAATCACCGCTCAAAGATTTACAAATAAAAAGCTCTGTGATGTAAAAGAATAAAGAGTAACAAATCAAAAGCACATCAACCAAAATCATTTTGTTTTTTTAGGTCAGTTAACCAGCATTAAAAGAATAAGGTACTTGTATGACAACAGTGACCTGTTTAAGAAGCAAAAATCTATTTTACCCTAACCCAGACAAAAAGTTAGCTTGAAAACACTTTTTTGGGATAATTATAAAGAACATGACTCATAACACTTACTAATGATCTAACTAACTTATGAAACAGTTACCATATCAGTCCACTGGAATGGTAGCATGTAGAGTAGCCATTAGTTGTGAAAACCCCTTTGATGCTCGGGGCTTTGTCCTTGTCCTCAAGAATTATGTAAGTGAAGTGAGGAGGTTCTGCTGAGGATATTATCACGGCTGGTTTGCCAGAGGGATAACTTTTTCTATTAAGGATCATTAAAACTGTGATAATCTCAAAGGCCAAAAAACATCGCCTGTGCTCCTTTTTACTGCTTGAAAGGATACAAAACAGTACCTGTTCCATCTGAAAACATCATCCGGAAACATGCTCCTCCTTTGTAGAATTGATATTTTACTACCTCTATCTGCCAAAAAAAAGCACAAAGCTAAACATAATTGTAAATGTATTTCAAGATATAATTACATAAATAATTTTTTCATAATATTTTTGATTGTTTCCACCAATTTTGTTTTTTAATTAGACACATATGAGAGTTTAAGGCAGACCACAAATGCAGCATACATACCTTTGGTTTAATAATTGTGTCTTGTTGTGGTGTTAACTTGCCAAGGGAAAATTCACAACATGTGTTTTGGATAACAAGCTTTTGTCTCATCTCCTTTGACACTGAATCATATTCTGGTCAACAGAAAAAAAATATCCATTAATTTTTTTCTCTTCTATAAGAGCCAATTATAAACAACATGCTTTAAATTATCTTTTTTATAGCTTCATGTAAGATTATACCTGAGTTTTGATGTTTCATTTGCTCTCTCCAGCGTTGAAAAGGTCTCATCCTACATACGAAAATCCAGATATTTTGAACATTAGCTTTAAAAATGCAACATAAGATTTAAAAAAATCACGATATACTGCAAAAATAATCACATTTGCCTTGGATTTGAAAATTTTGCTGTATTTTAATAGATCAACATGAAGTAGCACATACTTTTGGAGAGTAACTAAAGGATACATTGTTTTCAGGGTGTACTCTTGTTATTGAAGGCACCTTTTCTGAAACTTAAGTTGCCAGTCTTTTGGAATATGTGTCCCCCTGCTTTGCGCCTGCAAGGACCAAAATGTCTGCCCATCTGTCTTTGCCGTATAGGTTAATTTCAGTCAGATTAGATAAACAAGCCTTGCCACAGATTCTTAAAGGTATTGTGGAGGATTATTGAATTTTTTTTTGAAAGACCCGCCCTCTCCACTTAAAAAAAAAAATCTAAATGCACAGCCCTGTACCCGCTCCCGAGAGGGAACTACTGTTAAAAGCGTGCAAGAGCATGCACAAGCCCATCTCTCATTGAGCACTCTCTGTTTAAAAGTTGCTGTTCTCATAAGCAAAATCAAAAAGTATAATCAAAACCGTTCTCTTAGTGTGTGTCTGAACGTCCACTGTAACCCCTCAATCACTATATAGATACTATACTAATACTAAATAGATCATGTAACTCCTCCAATGCAGGCATCCTGCACCATCTTTGTTATTAATTGCGGCCGACAGCCGGCCACTGTGATAGCAAATACCATAATGTTTTGCAAGGTGATCTCTCCGCTCAAAGCATTCTGGGATATACAGTATCTGCCTCTTCTGAGGCCTTTCTTTTCTTCTGATACCGTTCGTAGACACTTTTGCTCATATGAAAGAACCACGGTGAGAAAGGTGAGCTTCAATGACTGTCTGAAACTGTAGCTCACCACAGATGTACACCTGAAAATGCGCATTCACAGAAAAAGATAGCTAACAGCACAAGCACGTAGGACGGCTTTATGTAAACATATCATCAGAATGATTGACAACTAGGAGGATACCTTTAGTTAGAACACACATTGATGCGCCGATCTAAACGTATCCAAAATTCTGTACATACAGGCGTGTTGGAAAAAATAATTTTCATGCAGAAAAATAGCTCTATCAATCCCCTCATTAATTCTGACCAGTTTCCCTGATTATTTGAGTAAAAGAATATGACTATGTCTCAGTAGGACTTCAGTTGTTCCACTTTTTTCAGATTATCAGACTGTGGGGTGAGAAGAAGGTTGCATGGTGGTGCAGCCTTTAGCATTGTTGCCTTGTAGCCAGAGGGTCCTGGGTTTGATTCCCAGCCTAGGTCTTTCTGCATGGTTCTCTCTGGTTACTCTGGCTTCATCTTATAATAATAAAACATGACTGTTAGGTTAACTGGCATCTCTAAATTGCCTTTAGGTGTGAGTCTGTGCATGTTTGTATGTCTCACGGTGTACCCTGCCTTTTGCTCATAGGCTAGTTAAGATAGACACTGGCCCCACTGTGACAGATTAAGAGACAGAAGGTGGATAGATGGAGTTTTAAAACTTTTAAGTTTGCATACATAAATGAAAATCAAAACCTTTATTACTGAATTGAAGTTTCCTCACAAGTTGCAGAGAAAAATCTCTATATTCTATGCAAACTAAGGAGCAACTCAGTTTATACTTTTCTTTACAATCGTTAAACACATAATGGGCCTGACTTCTGCCCTTATCACTCGGTGTAATTGCTTGATCTTGCAGTTCCTGCACATGTTGCTTGGAGCACATTCGGGCTTCTAACTGCAGCAAAGTGGACATAATATAAATTAGGAGAGCAGAGTTCACAGTGCAGCGGAGTGGAGTTGGGTAAAGTGTAAATTGGGGGTGACAGTAACTGCTCTTTATTTAGCCATAGATAATGTCTGAGCTGTGAAAATGTGTCTTTAGCTTCAGGAGGTCTTGGACTTTGTTTAGCATTCATAAAGAAGTGCCTGATTAACAGAGGTAGCATGTTACCATTCTGTAGTATTGATGCCCTAATGCTTGATTTTTCTTTGAACCCAGGTAGAATTAGAAGTACTAACTAATTTTAGTATTGGCTGATATCAGATACAAATCACAATACTAAATATAAATTAGTATAATGAAGAGTTCTGGGTTATATTCTGTATTATATGTTAGGGAGACAAAGATAGAGTTTTACCTTCTACCTGGTGGGAATTCAGATGCATTTTATTTCAACATAAATTCCTGTCGTCCCTTATCGAAAATAAGTATTTTTTGAGTTGTAATTTCAAAGCTTTTAAATCAGCAGTTCTCTGTTTATAGACCAGATTTAGATTCTAGGCTAACCCGGGGGTTGCTTTTTCTGTCACCTTTTTTTACTTGGAAATACCCCGACACCACTGGCATAGCTCCTCCACAAAATTCTGCCCTGTTTAAGTTATTTATCCATATATGGAAGTGAAAACAATTACAGAGCTGTATGTGCTTTAAGTCAATACTGACCGCATACTATGGAAAGACTGAACATACCACCCTCCTTTTTGTGGTTCTTTTTCAGATGTATGATTGGGCATCCTTCCATAATATTTCATTTCCAGTTTTTTTGTTTCCTTTTGGAAGATTTTGCTCCATCTCTTGTTCTCTCGTTTCGCTTGCTCACAACAGAAGACCTGAAAAAAACAAATTTCAAATGTTTTTCTCTTTCTTAACACTCAGTGCTCCTTTAGTTGTGAACCTTGTCGAACCACAAATGAGGTTGATCCTGTCATTTTGTAAAGGTTATGTGCGGAGTAATCATTTCTAATGAGTTTATGTAAAGTAAAACACTGCTCTCACCCTCTCAAACGGGGTCCCATTTTTCAGCGGTTCGCCGAGACTAAGGGGCTGATGGAGCTTCTGGCAGTACTCACATGTAGCAAGATGAGCACTGTTTTCCGACTCAGCTTCTGGAGGCTACAGCCAAAAAAAACAAAAGGAAAACGTGCATGCTTAGTTATTTCTGTCAAAAAAAAGACCATTGCTGTCAACTTGCCTTTGAAATGTGAATAGTTTGTTTTGTTTCTTGTCTGTATGCTATAAGACGAGGTAGACCAAACAAGGGTATATCATACTCCTCTATCTCTTCGCCTTCTGTTCCCTGTGTTGATCACAGATGAAAAAACGATTAAATAATTGATGTCCAAACTTTATGGCCGCAGGAAGTGGGGGTGCTGGGGGTTCTGCAGCACCCCCTAGTGGCGAGAGGGAGATTTTTTAAAAATCTAATAAGAATACTTTGCACAATTTATACATTTCTTATGAATATTTTGGGAAATAATTTTGACGTTTTTATTTTACTTTTACGTATATTTGGATTTTTTATTTAATTATTTTGAGGCCTAATCTACGCAAGTTCACGTTCACAGGTTACATTGCCATGGCAATGTCAAGCAAGCTAGTTGTTGCCAAGTAAAACGGTATCCCGCTCGTGGCTGCAGACTAGTAAATTTACATAGTCTAATGACATAAACTAGGGGTATGGCATGGAAATGAATTTCAAATTTTTTGGCAAAACCACCACCAGTAAAGAGGAACACTAGCATCGCAACCATAACAACGGAGAGCAGCTGGAGTGAGGAGACTGTTGGCCCACCTCCGATGGCAATAAAATAATTTAATAATTTAAATAATAGGGCATATATTCACCTGAGAACTGATTATGTCTGTGTGTTACAGATCCTAGTTGTGTGCACTGAAATGTATATGAATTGAAAGAAATTATTTTTTGTCATAAGTACAAAGCAATGAAATTAACTCTTTATTTAACCCATCCCCTTGGGAAGCAGTGGACTGCCATCGTGCCGCAGGCGGGGAGCAGTGTGGGGTTAAAGGACTAGCTCAGGGACCCAGAGTGTAGGCTGTGGGGGTCAAACCGGAGAGTTGCAATCATCTCGTAGCACAAGCGCGCCAAAAATTGCACTACATGTCTTTGACTACTGCCATTGCCCTGACCTCACCTGACTTTTTTAACTAATGATAATCTGATATTTATGTCACACGGCACCACTCTTAGCTAATCATCTGTCACATCAGATAGTCAATGCATTTTTTACATTCTATTATTGGATGTTGTGCTGCAGCCCAGCAAAAATATAAATAAATCTACTCTTCAAGCCTTGTGCCTCATACAGCAGGACAATTACATATCCTGCTGGTTGCGACGCCATAAGCTGGAATGCAATGAAAATCCAAACTGTCCGGCCTGAAACCGGACATCTGGCCAACCTAATTCCGGTAGCCAGTTAGCTAGCTGAACATGGAAAAGTAAAGGCTGGGCTTACTGGTGTGAGAGCACAGAACAGGTAATATTAGCTTGTGTGCTAATATGGGTGGTTATAGCTCCAGACTATAGTGAAGACCTGTCTAAGGACAGTTTAGCAAGTCTGCTCTGATATAAGCCTCAAAGCGAGAAGAGGTTTTGGAATGACGCTGCATCGTTGTGCAAGCTGTTTATAGGAGAGGTGCAGTGGTAGGATGTAACAAAATAGAAGTACTTCATTACTGTATTTAAGTAAATTTTTTTATGTATCTGTACTTTACTTTGGTTTTACACTACAAGTTACATGAAGTACCTATAGTTTTAACTCCATTACAAATTCTAATGCTTTTAACAGATCACGTTACATTGTTTTTCATTTATTTTGTCAGCTTGGTTTGAGAGATTTAAAGTAATCAAATGCTTTATGGGGATTGGTCTACTGAACAACTCCAAAGCGAGTAGGTAACATTGGACCTGCCTCCCCCAACACGCATCTAAAATGGATTCCAGAACACAGAGTCTGCCAACAGAGTTGTGCACCCTTGGCTTTATTTGAATGACCTGTCCTGTATAAATGTAACAAAAGATGACTCCTGGAGATTCAGGTGCCCCCTTTGTTTTCCCTAAAAGCCCAAGCTTCTTGTTTTAAACAACTCACCATCAAATCTAAAAAAAAAACATATTAAAGTTAGTTGCTAAATGCTACTTTTTTTTGCATGAGACAGACATTAGTAAAAGCTTACCTAGCTTTTACAAATGGTCTGCTTGCGAGAAGTATCCATGATTGAAACACATAGAAGTCGGGTTTTTCATTTGTGTTTGCTTTCATGCTTATCAATGTTGGACTGCTATATTAAGCCACAGTCCATACCCATTTAATGGGCTTCTTAAAAAAAAAAGAAAAAAAAAAAAAAGACACTACGATTCTAGCATTTTGTTCCCTGTGTTACTGAAGAAACACTGTGTTACAGTATTTTCAGCAGGGGGAGCTTTTTAGATGCCTCAGGCAAAGAGAAAGGAGCTCATTCAGTTTCCATTACTGCAAATAAATCACATGTGCAAAGCTGCGACATATACTGCCCTGGATTAGAAAAAAAAGACATAAATATAATATCCTGAATATGCATTTAATCCACACATCATAAAAATTTATTGAACTCCCTTTATTTTAAACGTTTCCTGTTTACCAGTTAGCTCCGAGAACAGACTATGTGATCCTAGATAATAACTCTGTTCAACTTTTTTTAAAATTACTAAACACAGCAAAAAAAGTCAGACGAAACAGATTCGTTCAACTAGCTTTCATATTTTCAGTCTGATATTCTTAGCAAAGAAAGGAATTGATAGATTAGTTAATTTGCATATGTTAGTACTTAGTTTAATTCTATAAAGTCCAATTTGTATAAATTCTGACTAAAATTCACTTATTCTTTTTCATAGGTAGCACAGATCTCACCTCCAACAATATGTTGCTCTCACTGCAACAGCCACCAAAAGGAGCAGCACATACATTCTCAAGGTCATTTGTCAGCAGCAAAGCACAGATCTGAGCTTTCAAAGGGAAGCCGGAGTAGTTGTCGGGTACCTTATTAACAATGGGGCCTCTCTTGTTGTCACACGTCTCGTGCTCCTCCAGGCTCCTAAAGTTGTCATAAAACTGTCGAGAGGAGAAGTCACCTTCTCTAGGACTCTCAGGAGAGGCAGAGGCAGTTTCTCCCTTGTAGGATGGAGTCAGACTCATGTTTTCAAAACGTGATATGTCATATGAAGCAGAGTCTCCAGAGAAAACTGACTGAACACAGTACAGTTCTGATCTGATTTGTTTTTGTTCAAATGTGGTTGCCTGGCAGTGGCTGTGCATCAAGATCATCTAAACTGTCATGTAGCTTCAAAAGATTTCTTTCCCTAACCTTTATCTATTACTTAAATCTGTAATGATTTGAAAGAGGAGTGTGCAGAATGCTTTGTAGCTTTAGAATAGATCTCTCACAATGCAGAAATAAATATTCTGCAGCATAAAAACAACTTCATTGTTATGAATTAAAAATATATGTATATAATTGATTTATAAGTAAGAAAGAAAATGTACGGTTTGTTACCATTGAAGACTTTAAAATGATCACACTACTTAATAACAGACTGTACACCTCACCACCATCCTTTCATTCAGGATGATGCATCAAGGGGAGTAATTACAGTCACTACTGACAGATCGATGAGTAATGCTAACAATACCTTAGTCTATAAAATCCCGATCTCCCTCAGCTGGATTTGAACATTTATAGCAGGCACAGCAACAGAGACTAGTCTTTTGTGTTAAATATAAAGTCTATTTTCTTAAGGTTTTACAGCGCCTTGCTTCAAACAGTGCGCATCTGAAGGTAGGCTGGAATAATTCACTGTATCACACTATTTCAGCTCTGTTTGTTAATTCCTTTTTGCCTTTTGATCAGGAAATTAAATTAATCCTTTTGCATTACCACTGAGGCATTGCTGCAAATCTAAAGGCTATATATGCTAATTATTGATTTTTTTCCCCCTGTTTTTTGCACAGATTTGACAAAAAACACTTCAGGGTTTTATTAACAAAATTAGAGACAATGAGGACCGTGACTCTCCTTCTGTGTTTTGGAAACATGTTTGTCGTATTACTGGCCAGTGATCAACATTCAGGCCAAAACCCTGTAGTCACACTCAATGAGACAGACCCCCCTGGTTTCTTAGCAATGGAAAAATGGCAATCCAACAGCTCGCTTCTTCCAAACCAAGTAACAGGAGGAAAAACAGCACAGCCCCCCATGTGCTTGAAGTCTACTGGAATTAGAGACGCCTTCAAATATATCAACATTATGGTCTCCCTTGTGGTGTTTGTTGTTGGAATGGTGGGGAATCTTGCTCTGCTGAAAGTCATATATACAAACAAAACCATGAGAAGTGGACCTAACATTATCATTGCAAGCCTTGCTTTGGGAGATCTGATACACATTGTGATAGACATTCCTATCAACTCATACAGGGTGAGTTACTTGACATATGCTGTGTAATAAATATGAAAAATTGCACTTTATGTTGCCTGTCTGCACTCCCGTTTATATATTTTTTTCTTTACATTTTTTCCTTTTTTTTGTATTTGTGGCAGCTTCTGGCAGAGGATTGGCCCTTTGGTTTAATAATGTGCAAATTTGTACCTTTTCTCCAAAAGACATCTGTTGGGATTACTGTGTTGAGCTTATGTGCCTTAAGTGTTGACAGGTAAGGAGATAAGCAGCACTGTTCTGTTACCTCCTTTCAAATATTGTTTTGAGACTAAAATCTGTATTTTATCGAGCAGACATTTGTTCAGCATTGGTCCTTGACATGCTCTCCAACTTGAAATAAATAGAAATAAAAATTACTTCATTTTTGCAGACAGAAAGTTCCCGAAGCCATAACATTTTCTCATTGATTTTGTAGATACCGCGCTGTTGTGTCCTGGAATCAAATCAAAGGCATCTGGGTCTCTGTGCGGACTGCGATTGAAATAACCCTGATATGGGTTTTTTCCATCCTGCTGGCTGTCCCTGAAATTGTTGGCTTTGATATGATAACAATGGACTATAAAGAGAAGCATCTGAGGATATGTCTGCTTCACCCTATCCAAACCACAAAGTTCATGCAGGTAATATCATGATGTTCACTCCAACAAAATAAACTGAAAATACAAAATTTTATCAAATGTTATGTAAAAAATGTCAAATATGCATTTATTGATGTCCCTATTGACCTATAAAAAGGTGCATTGATGTTCTATCACCTCCATCGATGACAGTTTTCCTGGCATATGTCCTGTTCAATTTACAGTTTTATAAATCTGCAAAAGACTGGTGGCTCTTTGGCTTTTACTTTTGCATGCCTCTGACCTGGACTGCAGTTTTCTACACACTGATGACCAGAAAAATGCTAAGAAACACTGAGAATACTTTAAGTGAACACATCAAACAGGTAATAAGGTGATATTTAAGTTTCATGCTCAATGTGAAACCATTAAAAATGATTTATTTGATTTTGTTGTTAAAGGATATGTGTGATATGTTGTTTTTTTTCAAAGAGGCGCGAAGTTGCCAAAACTGTGTTCTGCCTGGTTTTGGTGTTTGCACTTTGCTGGTTCCCTCTGTACCTCAGCAGAATCTTGAAATGGACCATATATGATTCAAAGGATCCTAACAGGTGCCGACTACTAAGGTGAATATTTTTGGTAACACTTTGCTTGCTATAACAATAGGTTTGGCTTACAAACGTATGTATATACCTTAAAATTGTTTCAATTTGGTCATATTACAACCACAAACCTAAATGTTTTATTATGGGGTGATAGACCAGCATGAAGTAGTGAAAAATTGTTCAGCGGAAGGAAAAAGATATATATATATATATATTGACTGTGAAAGGAGAGCATTTGTAAGATGAAAAGAAACCCTTGAGAATTATGGAGGAGCTATAGAGGTCCACAGCTCAGGTGGAAGAATCTATTATCAATACAACCATTGGCCATGCATTCTACAAATCAATTAATGACAGCATGAAGGTGTGGTTATGCTTTCCTACAGCAAGGACAAGGAAGCTGGTTGGAATGGTTAGGAATACTAATGGAAATAAATCTTGTAGCCTCAACTGCAAAGAAGATGGTTCATAGCAAAGTGTGTTCTTTTGTTTGAATGCCCTAATCAAAATTTTACCAATAGGTAGTATGTAAGAAACATTTAAATATCTGATCTGACTAAGTTTATGCAATTTAAAAAGAACAACAGTTAAAATGATCAGCCTTTAGATGTGACATAGACATATCAGACATATCTGAAACTCTGAAAACATTTGTGTATAATACCTTTCAGTACTTGATGACAACATTTTTGTTTTTTGTCCTCCATAAATATTCCATAACTTGAGTCAAATGAAATCCCAGTTAACACTGTGAAGTTTGTTGGTACCAGATGACAATTTATGGAACAGTGTAAGGGGTATGAATTCTTATGCAAGGCACTGTTTGTCATACCCTAATGTATGCATTCTCTTCCAGTGTCTTCCTCGTCCTTGACTATTTTGGCATTAACATGGCATCACTAAACTCATGTATCAACCCCATTGCATTGTACATTGTCAGCAAAAGATTCAAGAGGTGTTTCAAGGTGAGTGTCGTTACTGTTCCGACAGGGCTTCTATATGGTAAAAACATTGTGGTTTCTGTAGGATGATCAGTATATGTGTGTGTGGGTGTGTGTGTGTGTGTGTGTGTGTGTGTGAGAGAGTGTCTGGGGCGCTTTGGGGGCTGGGGTATCATAATGTAGTCATGTCTGTAAAGGCTGCTAGACAGCACACCTTAGGGGGTAATAAGTGAAAATGACCTGGAAAAACATTATCAGGTAAGGAAATATGTCATTTGGCTATCTACCAGACAGTCTGTGAATCACACTGATGTGCTATGAAGAAACAAATGTAACCTGGAGGTATTTTTTAAAGAGAAGCTATTTGAAGCTCTTTATTGTACAACAATCACAGGGGAAGCTATTGGAAATATTCACTGATTCATTTTGCCACACTTTAGGTTAACACTATAGATCACATATACTGTAATATTTACCTTCTGTTGTATTACTTTTGTATTCATCTTAATATATAAATAAACCGATCCGTTTTATTGCAATATGTACCTATGCAAACTATTCAAGGCTTGTTTTGTGGATCAGTTCTTGGTGGTGAGTGAGATGTTTTTCCTATGATGTAGATGTTTGCTGGCTACATTATTTTTTTTCTGTGTGGTCCTTCAGGCATGTCTGTGCAGTCTCTGTCTGCCTCTCCAAGCCAATGCCAACGACGAAGTGGTGTCTGTTTTGAAGTCCAAAATGCAGGATCAAGCCTCAGAGCAAAGCAGCAACATCAAAGCTCACCAGGAGCCTCAACCTGTTAACACCTTACTGTGCTAACAAAAATCCTAAACAAGTGTGAAAATACTTTGTGATCCTGTCTATAGTTCTTTGTAAATGTGTATGACTTTCAAAACAAAGAAAATGTCTTCTGTCTGCACCTTGGCAACCTTCGACATGCCAACCCTATAAGGCCTCCAGATAACCCTATAAGGCCTCCAGATAACCCTATAAGGCCTCCAGATAACATAGGGCACTGTCTTTTGTTATGCTGTCGTCAGCTGAACATCTGCTTTGGCGTGAGCAACCTTAAGTGTACCGACTATTATTTGCCCCCAAGGCTTGACTCACTTCCAAACATTACATCAGACGTTACCTTGTACCTTTCCTGTATCATGCATCACACTCCTTAAATCACTGTTTCGGGTGCAATGTCAAGTTGGCATCCATCAACATGCATCTTGTCACAGCTTAAAGCCTACATACAGACACACACACACTCATTTTATAAAAACATATACTACTGGGAGTTCTCCAATCACTTAAATACTCCTCTCATTCCTGCTTTACACCCAATGTGTGAAAAGTTTACATCCTCAATTTCCTCCTTGATCCTGAAAAGAAAAAAAAAATAACTGGTGCCACAAGTAGATTCAGACTCTGCCACTGAAAGAACTGATTGATGGTGGCCTATTTTTAATACATTGTTAAATGTGTAATGCATGGAGACACTTTATGAAAGACCTGAGAGTGGGGAGGAAGGAAAACGAAGATGACAGAATGAGGTCAGGAGAGAGAGAGGGAAGGGGGGTAGCACCTGATAGGTCTTCCTGTCAGGACAAGGAAAGTGCAAACAGCACGTTGCTCCAGCAGCTTATGCTGCATCAGTCTGAGAGCTGAATTGCCGTTTAAAAGTTTAGAATGTCTCACTTATCATGTCTCAAAATTAGCTGTTTGAATAATTCTTTGTAATTACTTAACATGTTTGTGATGCTTGCATAAAAAAGTTATATTGTAAACTGTATGCTTTTAAATGAAAATTTCATCCAAGTTCTCAAACTTGTGTCATTAGAAATTATTCTCCTGATGATTCCTGAATTTCCATTTAACAGATCACTTCAAATGTAAAAATGAAAACTTTTTTAATTTGCAAGATCTATCTTTGCATATAGGGAATAAGCTCCAAGTTCATGTGGTCCAGAGACTAACTTCCCTTTTGGAGTAAAGTCTGGATTCTAGCTTATCCAATCCAAAACATGGGTGTTCCCATTACAGTTTTTCTCACTTGCAATGGTATATATTTCTCCCACCCGTATTAAAGTTTGCACCACTGCTAAGTAGAGGTGGGCAATACTAGAACTTTGGTATCAATACGATACCAAGTAAATACAGGGTCATGCCACCAATAGCGACACCAGTTGTTAAAAATATATATTCAGCATGATTTATCAGGAAACTGTTGACCTTTTGATGTTTTGGGGATTTTTCTTTTATTATTGCAATTAAACAATGGAGCAATTGAACATAAACAAAACAAATGTAAAACAATTTAAAACAAAATCTTAAGAAAATATAAACAAACTTAGCACACCACAACAAATATTGCTTGTTTGGCTGCTGCCACTGAGGTGCTTGATGTCAACGGGAGGGAAGGGCAAAAACACACTTAAGATTATTGTTCAATATCAGTACCAGTGTTGATATTGATACTACCCATACTAGGATGGATCCGCCCACCTCCACGGTAAAGGCGTTTCTTGAAACCGTGCAAAAAGCAAAAACAAACATATATAACCTGCAGAATTGAGTTGCATTCTCAGAATGGAATAGTCAATAGCACAAAAGTCAGTAGCCCAAAATGGGTAGCTTCAAAAGCAAAACCCTTAATGACCATTTTGTCTTCAAAAGCAAGTTTTTAAGTTAATGTTAATTACATAAAATATTTAGTCAAAATGCATTGTTAATGTTCATAAATGTAGTCATTATATTCAATTAAGTGAACGCTAACATGTGGTTGATGAGTATGTTGATTGTTAATCAACTGTTGAGCTCAAACTTGGATGTAACCTCCCCTCTGCTCTGGAGCTGCAGAGCACTTCTTGTCAGTCTCTATGAGAAATCATTGATGAGGTCTGAGCCTCCATCCATTGAAGCAACCATAAAGAAAGTAGGGCCCTGATTAGCCAACACACAAAAATCTGTCACTTTCAGTGAGGGTTAATTTTTAAGGGGGGTGGCTGTTCAATTCTAATTGATTGAACAGATTCGACTGACATTGGCAAGACAGGGGGGAGGGTTTCTTCATGAGAATGAGACATAAGAGGAAAAATGTGATAATTCAGCCAGAACTGTGGTCTTATGCTAAACTCTAATTATGTCACAACAGCTATTTTACCAGGGGTCCGTTTCACAAAGCAGCTTTAACAAACTCAGATTCAAATCCAAAACTCTAAATTGATCTAGCCTAAAGTTAGGAACTCTGAGTTTTCGGTTTCACTATGGCTGCTATGAAAAAGATCAATCAACTCTAAGTAGAACCACTCAGAGTTTTGGAGATTCACAACAAGTATGAAAAACTATTATCAGTGGAGCAGCGATTTGATGAGTCACCATGACAACAGGCAACAGGAAGTGCCTATTTAACCCCACTGGAACCACAGATTTTAATGCAAAAAAACAAAGAAAAACTGTGTTTAAAAGACAAAGAAACAGTGGCACAGCTAAAAAGGAGAGAGGATGGTGAAGGAGAAGATTGTTGCTCGAGTTTATATAAAGTGGGCTAAGGCAGGCCGATTTTTACATTTATTAAAAGCACTCTCCTCTCTGCTTTTCAATTTGTAGGTCATTAAAATAAGGTTCATCCTTATCAAAATCACACCCCTGGACCTAACTTTAATGTAGACTCAGTAGGCTGCTATGGTCGAGTGAATCCTAATCCTAACCCTAAAGTAATTCCTTTTCCCCCATGGAATTAATGAATCTATTTATGTGTAATCTGAAAATAATTTAGGTTTTTCATGTACTGTAAATATGACTAAATGAAAATAAACTGATTCGCATGTCGCTTATACTAAACAAAGCAAAAAAAAGTAATCTTATGCCCAATTGAGTTGTAGAATCCTCTCCATATAAATATTTCATTTTCTGTGAAAAAGTGCTGATAATTCTTTAATATGATCCTCATCAAACAGACAGGCACTGTTTGTTTTTAAAACCTAATTTGTCTCTTACGGCCCTAGTAATTGATTTGTGCATATATATATATATATATATATATAAATAATGCACAAAACTACAACAATAATCTGACTAAATCAGGAAATAAAACAATGTGATTGGCTGTAAGGAGAGCAGAGACAGCTCACACCCGAGTTTACTGAAGAAAAACTGCAACAGACCAGGTTAGCTATGGGAAGAATGTTACTATGGTGCTTGAAACAGTGTTTGAGGTAGCTCTCTTTGTGAAACGGAAAAGTCAGAGTTTCCTTGTTTTTAGATTTAGAAAACTTAGAATTTTTTGGTAAACCTGCTCCATCAAACTAATAATTTGTCAAACCCTGATGTAGTAATGTGTTATATGCATTTCAATATTTATTAACGCAATATATTAGGTTTGGATTAAATAAACACCAGTGAGCATGGCCTGTTTCAGAGAGAAGGAGCCACCCCTGGATCAAAGCAAATCATTTGGTGCTGAAAAACCCTAAATCAGTGTGCTTCCTGGTTCTACCAGTGAAATATCTGAATAATCAAACCAACAGTGGTTATGCTAACATTTGGCAACACCCTTCAGCCTCAGCCATTATGAGATCATTCAGTTAAGTTTCGATTTAGTATGTACAGCTTTTATGTACAGCATGTCCTCTCGAGACCCTTTGCAATAAAACAGGTTCAAATGTTATTTTATTTCTTTAATAATGTTTATTTTATTTTATTTTTTTCGGACAAATTCATGAATATTTCTTGCATTTCATTTATTTGTTGTCGATTTGTTATTCATACCACCATGGTAGAATATAACTGTATTTTTATTTTCAGCTATTATATTGTTGGAATCTCAAAGCAATCAATCTTGCTATAGTTCACTGTTCTCATTTACATAGAAACATATTTATGTAGATCTACAACGTCTGTACACAAAAGTATGCTGGCAAAGGCTCAAATACTGGAAGCATATACAGTAATTTCAGGACAATGTTGTCAAATGCTCAGCAAGTGGAAAAATGAGCAGAAGATACATGCTATCATGTCCCCAGCAGGCTCACTGCTGTATGATGATACAGACACAATCAAGCTTTAGTATCCAAAGGATGACGTCAGCGACAAAGTCAGCCAGGAAGCAGGAGTCTCAGACCCTCTTCAGTAATCTCTGTACGCACAAGGCTCACATGTGGCTCCCCGTTGTTCTGCCCAGGCTCCCCAGACTGTGGATTTAATTAAACAGTGTGAAATTAATTAATCAGTTGGGTGGCAGGTAAAAAAGAACTTCTCACCGGAGGAGCTCAAGAAACCAAGACAGGCATTTTATCCGCACTGACAGTTATTAATTTGCTGTATGTTTTATTATAGTGTGGCTATAAAGAGATGCTAAAACTCTGAGAGATTAAAAAGCTTGACATGGTAAAAAAGTCATGCAAATTATAAAAATAACTGCTCCCTGAAAAATCAAAGTGCAAACCTGTGTTTGATCTGTTGTATCAATTAATTAAAATATTCACTCCTGTATAATAATGCAGTGCAAATTAGATGGAAATGAGATAAAATATTCATTTAGTTTTCTGGGGAATCTGCCTGCAGGGCTTTTTAGTCTTCTGTCTGGATCCAAAATGCTGTCCATATGGCAATTATGTACCATAGTGTTGCAGGAGAATTGGTCTGATGCCTTGTGGCAGAGAGGAGCCTGCCTGTGACAAACTGCTGCTAGGATCTGATGTGAGTTGAGGGAGATAATGAGGCTGTTGTAAGTCTTAAGTATAGAGCCTGCCCCGGGGGTGACATATCTAAGCGTGCAGGCTCCCTCATTGTTGCATTTGCAGCTGAGGATTAAAAAGACATTTGCTTTCTTCTTCATAAACTTTGTCAGTACT